CTCAGGCTGGTTTCGAACTCCTGAGCTCAAACAATCCGCCCACCTCGGCCTCCCAGAGAGCTAGGATTACAGGCATGAGCCACCGCACCCAGCCTAATCCACACTTTTTAAAGGAAGCATTTTCTATAAACTTCTCTCAATTGCGAGGCACTAGAATATCAAAGGGAGTATGTCACACTCATTGTTGAAGAATATAGTTTAAATTAGGCAAACCTGTGTGGTCCAGACTAAAAGCGCTATAAAAGTTCAATCTAATTATTAAGTTTTATTGTGTGCAGCACGTAGCATGTCTCAGCAATTGATGACACAAAACACATACACAAGAAGTTTTAAAAAGATAAGAAAAATTTTAAGAAAATTCAGCATTAAACACAGCCACAATGTTGTCCATGATTATGGTGAAGAAAGTGGTATTTGGCTACCATGTTCTTTGTTACCTGTAATATTAATATTTTTCCTTAAATTGACTCTCTTGGTAAAAAAAAAAAAAGTCTTATTCTAGGCAATTTTCTTGAAATCACAGGTTTGACGATGTGCTAGTTGTAATTTTTTCTAATACATATTAAAGTGAAAAACGGGAAACAGCAATATCCACTGAAACATCAATTTGACCCAAGGAGAAGTGACTATGGGTTGAAAACCTTCAGGAAAAGGGACGAAATCAGGGTCACGAAGGTATCGATTAATTTGGATTGAACTAGAAAGCACATACTGAAAAAAATCTAAGGAAAAATCCTTGAAAGTTTTCACGCAGAACAGCACAGTGAAAAAGTTCTTTGAAGAAAATCAATGTGATAGATATGAAAGGCAATGAAAAGAAGTTGATGATGAAGAAACCTCACCACGGATACACTGGCAAGGCTAGTGACCAATACGTGCCCAACATTAGAATCTGAGAAAGGGAGCAATGAGAAGGGGAGAGGGGTGGGAGAAAAGTCGGTGAGTCCGTCTCGGACCCGTTGAGTCTGGCGCAGGGAAGCCCCCAGGTAGGACTGTCCTGATGGGCAACAGAAACCAGGCACCGATCCTGGTGCCAAGGCACGACCATAACCAAGCCTTATGCGAGACAGAAGCAGCAATGCTGTCAGAGCAGAGTGAGAATGAATAGAGCAAAAGACACCCAGAGGAGCGGACGCTGAGTCACTAAGGATTGGACCCTGGTTCACTTAAAATGATCAAACACTAACATGACAAAAACACTCGTAAGAAAAAATTTTACCTTATCTCTTTTCTTAGTTCATCTTCTGCTGCTTGATTTTCTCCAGGGCAAATCTTGGCCCTAAATTTCCTATAATTCTGTTCACCGGCACTTTGCTGTTGTTGGTGATGTAACTGCTTTATTCGTTTAGCTAAAGAACTCAGTGAAAAGTCAAGGGGCACTATTTTCTTATTAATTTTAACAGCTACATCAACCTGAGATGCTGACATGTTCTCAGTATTAACTAACTCTTCAGGAATGTCAGAATTTGAAGGAATTTCTTTTTTAAAACGCTTTGCATTTGAGGATGAGAGATTAGTTCGCTGAGGCAAAATTCTAAATTTATGTCCAGTATCTTCTTGGTTTAAATGGCTTTCCATGTCAGAAAAACGATGGTCAGTTTCAGATAATTTCTCACAGGATTCCACATTTTCCTGTGAAAACCTGTCTTCTTGGGAGCTGGCTGCACAGTCACTGCTGCAGTGACTGTCCGTGTCTGGGGTGCTGAACCCTCCCTCTGAGCCAGCTGAAGTGCTGCCATGCCCCGAGTCCCTCTCCACTTCTGCTCTGTCCACGTGCTCACCGGGACCCTTACCGGAACTCATCACCTCTTCCGGACAGCCCAGCAAGCCTCTGCCAGAGATGGGATCTGAAGCCCTGGAAAATGGTACACTCCTCTTCTGCCTCGGAGAGCTCCGTCTCGGTTCAGGAATCTCCGTGTCCTCAGACTTGTTCTCTGCTGTGTGACGAAGAGAAAAGGCCTCTCTCAGTCTGGAGACGGATATCGCCCTTTTTTCTTCTCCTTGAGTCCTTAACGAAGGCGAATTCTCCTGCTTCTCTGACAGAGGCTTTTCCATTTCTGTCGCATGCATTTTTATTAAGTTACCTAAGTAAATATGAAGAGAGAAGAATGTCATGGACTGTACTAAAATGGGATTACAGAATTTTTTTTTTGAGATAGAGTCTTGCTCTGTTGCCCAGGCTAGAGTGCCGTGGCATCAGCCTAGCTCACAGCAACCTCAAACTCCTGGGCTCAAGCAATCCTCCTGCCTCAGCCTCC